GCTACATGCCTGGTGGAAACTCATTCCCAGGACTGCAGACACAGTCTCTCTTATGAGTCCCCGCAGGTTCTGCACCTCATTAGACCCGAATCTTTCATAAAGATCTGGATCTAATGAGGTGTTTCATTAATGCGGAATAAACCAGGAAAACCTCAGTTCATTTTGCATTAATTCGCTTTTACTGGAGGTGTAATTTAGATGCCCCTGATAAAACTGAGACAGGTCCCACATTTTGGGCCTGTCTGGATGGACCCTTTGTTCCCCATTCAGCTTTGAACCCATCACAAAATGCTTTATACTTTGAAAACCTACAACAATTCATAGCTTTATGCTGTGAAAACACACAGCAATATATTTTTTTCTGGGAAGCTCAATTTCCTCCCTAAGTACATGTGAGAATAGCAAACAACATTACAGTGAACAGGAGAATTTGAAGGGGAATGAAAAATGATGGCAATTGGCCTAGGAGTTTTGGACACAGTGAGCCCTGCTCTATTACATCATTGATAATAGGGTATTGGATCCTTTCATATTGCACAATTATAGTGCTATAACTGCAGTCTAAGGAATACTTGGGTTGGAGCCAAACTTCCATATAATCTACTATTTGATCCCATATCATCTGCTTTGAACTGGATTATATGAGGGCCCTTCCAGACAAGCCAGTATCCCAGGACCTGAATTAATCCATAGAAAACTGGAATTTCCCAGTTTGCTCTGGATTAATAAAACACCTGGAAAGATCTGGATCTTAAGATAAGGTCCCAGTCTTTCCAGGTGTGGACCCTGTAGGGATTGACTCCCGGGACTGCTTCTAGCCAAGCCCAAGGGAAAACTCAAAATCTGGATTGGGGGTGGGGACAGAAATCCAGCAGGGACTGGGTTAAAATAAACCTTTTGGATTTCTGGCCTGCCAGGAAGGTCCTTGAGACTACACTGCCATGCAATCCAGTTATTTATTTATTCGTTTATTTCATGCATTTCTACCCTGCTCTTCTCCCCCTCCCCCACTCAGGGCAGCCTCACACAAGCACTGTATGATGCTATCAACATGTAAAATAATCCAAAATACATTAAAATCCTGGGCACCACAATTGAAGAGAGATATTGAGAAGCTGGAATGTGTCCAGAGGAGGGTGACTAAACTGATCAAAGGTCTCGAGAACAAGCCCTATGAAGAGTGGCTTAAAAAGCTGGGCATGTTTAGTCTGAAGAAGAGAAGGCTGAGAGGAGATAGCCATGTATAAATATGTGAGAGGAAGTCACAGGGAGGAGGGAGCAAGCTTGTTTTCTGCTTCTCTGGAGACTAGGACATGGAACAATGGCTTCAAACTACAAGAAAAGAGATCCCATCTGAACATTAGGAAGAACTTCCTGACTGTGAGAGCTGTTCAGCAGTGGAACTCTCTGCCCTGGAGTGTGGTGGAGGCTCCTTCTTTGGAAACTTTTAAACAGAGGCTGGATGGCCATCTGTCAGGGGTGCTTTGAATGCAATTCCTGCTTCTTGACAGGGGGTTGGACTGGATGGCCCACAAGGTCTCTTCCAACTCTATGATTCTATGAAAAACATTAAAAATAATTAAAAACACATTATACAATTCATTAAACAGTAAATTAAACAAGCCAGTTAAAACTAAATCCAAGACTGGACTGATTCAATGCCACAGATATCCCAAGTCTTCTTTCCAATTGCCGCTGTCCACTAATCAAACACCTAGTCCCAAAGAGAGAGTTCCACAGATGAGGGGACACTGCCGAGAAGGCCCTGTCTCTCATCCCCACCAATCGCGTTTGCGATAGTGGTGGGATCGAGAGCAGGGCCTCTCCTGAAAATCTTAAACTTTGTGATGGTTCATAAAAGGAGATACGTTTGGACAGGTAATCTGGGCCAGAACCGTTTAGGTCTTTAAAGGTTAAAACCAGCACTTTGAATTGTACTTGTAAGCTGATCGGCAGCCAGTGAAGCTGGCGTAACAGAGGAGTTGTTCAAATCAGATCATAAACTGGATTATATGGCAGTGTAGATGGGGCCTAGGATATGTAGTTTGGGAAGGTGTTAGCGTTCACTATTGAAAATTTTAAATTTTCTTCCCTAAACTGCAAATTTCAAGATTCCATAAGATGTCACCATTACAATTAAAGTGGAATTATTATGCCATATGTCTTTTGAATAGTGTTTATCTCTTGTTTAAATTATGTTGTATTTTGTCTAGAGCTGCATGGCGGGTAATAAAATAAGCGTTGTTGTTGTTGTTGTTGTTATATTTATTTAAAATGAAAGAGTCCAAACTGAATCCTAGTACAAAAGTGTATTTTAATTATCCTGGTCTGGTGAGTGGTGTGTTTATTTGTTATTTGTAGCTCTCTTCCTGACTAATACCACAATTTCAATATCAAATTGACAGGATTTTGGCATTTTAGAAAATCATGTCCTTTTTGTGATAACTCTGCTGTCAAATGGAATATGATGCCTTGGAATGTGGTGGAGCCTCCTTCTCTGGGGGTTTGCAAACAGAGGCCTGATGACCATCTGTTGCAACTGCTTTGATTGTGTATGGCAGAATGTGGTTGAGCAGGATGATCCTTGCAGCCTCTTATTTGACCCTTGCAATCTCTTCCAAGTGGTCTCTTGTTGTCCACTAGTGTTCCTATAATGAAGAAGATATTTTCTTCGACAGATTGGTTTCTTTGGACAATGGCCGGTTCACCCCCTGACACTAAACTGATGATTTGATCTTTCCTGAACTGTAATACTTTCTCCTTTTTGAAATAAGGTGCTCTAGTTTTCCCAGACAAAAGGGGGAGAAAAATCATTGCATCCTAACTAACAAAAGAATAGTTTCCCAGGTATTATAAGATGGAAATATTATTTTCGATCTCTTCAGTGTGAACTGGCTTTGCACAGCCTGCCAGAGAAATGGCAACTGCGAAAAGCGACATTATTACTACTACTATTTGCAACAGGCTTGCTTGATCAACTAGCAAATGCCAAGTTATTGTGTTATGCATCCCTTACACTCATAAATGATCTGTATAGTGTGAATGTGAAAGCTACCCAGTAAAAAGAAAAATAATACTTTGGCTTGCACCATTGTTAGATAGGGAAAGATGTATAAAAGTTGGTATAATAATAACAATAGGGCAGTAATATCTGTAAATGGTCAGCAATATTCTGTAAGAATGAGGAGTAGCTGCATTATCTAGAAATACTACTGTAACTCCTAAGCTTTGCATAACTGGTTGTTCCAAATTATATATTGTTCTTAGCAAATGGAGATTGCTGAAGATGAATAAGCCTATGACCTCTGAGCAGTTATTGCAGCATGAATGCCACAATATAATTAATGTGTGATATATGCCCATCATATCTCAGCTCCATCTCCTGATGTAGCAAAGGGAAGAAAACACAGGAACTTGGTGGAATGTTCTTTAAATACTATTCACAACCTCAATGCAACTTGATTTGGAATACGATCCAGTCTTTAGGACAGTGGTTTCCACTCTTTGGTCCTCCAGATGTTTTGGACTTCAGCTCCTAACAACTGGTAAGCTGGCTGGGATTTGTAGACATTGAAGTCCAAAAACACCTGGAGGACCAAAGGTGATATATGCCCATCATGGCAACCATTGCTTTCAAGGGACAAGATATGATGGAAGTTGACCATAGAGTTGCACTAAAGGACCTAGAGATTCCTATAAAGGTGTTTTCTCAGATTTTTTTAAAAAAGAAAACACTTTTTATTTGGGTTGCCCCATTTTTGTGGAGGCCATGTGCTACTAACCCAGTGAATGTGGAGAGCTGCTTGTGTGTCCTTTTGTTCTCTGAGTGAGGCCAACATTGTACAGGACATCCAGTAGCTTGAATCTGATCCCAAAGACATGGAGATTATGTGTTTGAACATCTTTGACTTTCCGAACTTTCAATTTGAGGTTTTTGGGTTCCTGGCATGATGCAATTTAGAAATAAAATGTCCTATAAGTGAGTTCTGTGTGGGGTTAAAGCAATAAGCAAATTTTACAAGAGGGCGAGAGCAAGACAGAAAAATGATTCAGAGTTTATACAGCTTATGTGATCCAGGAATTGCACATTTTGTTCAGTGCTTGGAAAGTATTACAATCACAGTTCTGAGACCCACCCACAAGTCTTGGTTACAGTTACCTTTTTAGATTTACACTCCTATAGTTACACTTTAAAAATCATATACTAAAGTAACTGAAAAGTATTTAATTGTTTTAAAATAAACACATTGGGATGCTACATACCACTAATGAGTGCTACAAAGCACATGTAAAAATTGAGGCCCCAAACTCTGTAAATATAAAAGTAGTTATTGGGTTGCGGTGGTGCAATGGGTTAAACCTTGTGCTTCTCAACTGCTGACCTGAAGGTTGGCAGCTCGAATCCGCAAGACATGGTGAGCTCCCAGCTCCAGCTCCTGCCAACCTAGGAGTTGGAAAACATGCAAATGTGAGTAGATGAATAGATACCGCTTTGGCAGGGAAAGGCAAAAGACGCTCCAAGCAATCTTGCCGGCCACACAACCAAGAAGTGACAACGCAGGCTCCTTGGCTTGAAAATGGAGGAAAGCGCCTCCCCAGAGCCAGAAATGAGCACCGCTTCCAGAAGCCAGAAATGAAAGAAGCCTCTGCCTTTGTTAATGTTTGTGTGTGCCATTGTATATGATTGTAAAGGCATTGAATGTTTTACTATACATGTAAATGCTGTAATCTGCTCTGATTCCCCTAGGGGAGAAGGGCGGAATATAAATAGTGTATTATTATTATTATTATTATTATTATTATTATTATACATAAAAACATGGGCGAAAAATAAAAATTCCCTTCATCATGTCAAAAGTGTAATACAGTTTAACTATCGTTTAGTTTCTGGAGAAATGTAATTATTTACATGTTACTGCTACCACCAAGATCAAATTTTATTTGAGGACAATGAGAAGTATGCCTAATGGAGTGGTAATAGATCAATTTGCAGACCTATCACTGAACTGTTGCTGGATCAAGCAACCTTAGTTTTTTTCTTTCTTAGTCCAGAGCGGACAGGAGCTTTGTGTGAAAAAACCTGATGCTATAAATGAAAGATCATAACTTGCAGGTACAAATTGAAATTCGTAGCTATAAACTAAAAGTTATAAAGGTCATAAAAATGTTCAGCTATAAACCGAAAACTATCAGATTAAAAAATCCACAGGAGCTATTCATTCATTTAGTACTCATAGCAAAGTCTGTCACTCAGCTTCAGCATCTTTAATTTCTATAAAATTGGGAGAACCCATCCTCTGCACCTCTCTAAAGTCCCTTCTATGCTGCCATATAAAATCCAGATTATCTGCTTTGAACTGGATTATATGGCTTTAGGCCCCTTCTACACTGTCTTTATACCCCAGGATCTGATCCCAGATTATCTGTTTATCCCAGATTATATGGCAGTGGAGACTTGTATAATTCAGTTCAAAGCAGATAATCTGGGATCAGATCCTGGGATATAAGGACAGTGTAAAGGGGGGCCTTAGTTCAGCAAGATCATCCTGATTAATCTTCTGCCACCTCACTTTTTCTGTTTTTAAAATACTCTGATTTCCCTCTCCTTTCACTTTGCCCCTTCCTGCTCAGTTTACTATAGTGAATTAAAAATGTCTCAGGAAAGTCCAAGTTTAACTGAACATGTGCTGCAACAGATGCCAGCATATCCCAGATCCAGAATGAAATTGGATCCACAAAATGCAGAGTGCATTGTAGACACCTGCCCTGCTGAAGCTCAGTGAAGAATCTCCAATTGGGAGGCTGCCAAAAAAAGTACTCCAAGGGCATGGCTGGACAAGAGGGGATTGATCGACCTCTTGGAGGGGAAAGTTTTGCTCTTTCCTTTGTTTTTACCCTGTATACCTCTGGTGCATTGATGCACATCTCCGCAGGAAATGAGGAAAAAAATACTGGAATGAAGTTTGAGTCCAGTTTCTGTGCTTAATGTAATGTTCTTCCTGGCCTCAAACTGGATCCGAGCATGGCAACCTGATCACTCTGTGCCAGGCCCGTAGCCAGGATTTTGATTTGGGGGAGGGGGGCTGAATTTGATTCGGGGGGGTGGTGGTGGTGGTGGTGGTGGTGGTGGTGGTGGTGGCTGAGGATCCACCCTAGCAAACCTTTTGTATAGTTATCCCAATACTCCCATGCATGTGGGATATATTGAGCATGGTGATCAAATCATGATATGAATAAACATAACAGTTTAAATAATGTATCAGTAAGGCCTTCTCACAGACCACACTGAGATTTTTGGGGGGGCTGAAGCCCCCCCCCCCCCCCCCCCCCCCCCGGCTACATGCCTGCTCTGTGTCCTTCCACACTGTCCTTTGTTCCAGGTTCTGTTCCCAAATGATCTGCTTTAAACTGGAATATATGAGTTCACACTGCCAGATAACCTGGGATAAACAGATAATCTGGGATCAGACCCTGGGATAAGGGGGCAGTATGGAAGGGCCCTCTGGCAACAAAACCAGTTTCTTCCAAACCAGTTCCAAGATGGATTATAGTGTAGAGTTGCTCTAAATCAGCAGGGAACAGAGGAGAGTTAAAGGCTGAATCTTGTCCTAGTAAACTATGGCTGCATCAACATAATAAAATGGATGCACTTTGACTCCACTTTAACTGCTATGGCTCAGTGCCCTTGTGCCAGCGGGACTGAAGACCAACAGGTCAGAGGTTCGAATCAGGGCAGAGCGTGGATGAGCTCCCTCTGTCAGCTCCAGCTCCCCATGTGGGGACATCAGAGAAGTAAAACATCAAAACATCCGGGCATCCCTTGGGCAATGTCCTTGCAGGCAGCCAATTCTCTCACACTAGAAGTGACTTGCAGTTTCTCAAGCCACTCCTAACACAAAAAAGGGAGTTGTAGTTTTACAAGATCTTTGCAAAAGAGTCTTCATGTCTCACCAAACTAAACATCCCAGGATTCCACATCTGTATTAATTTTAAATTGACCCAAAATCATAAGCAGACCACTGCAGCCTCCCCTAGCTTGAGCTTGCTTCCGTATTAAGAACTTCTTTTATCTTAACACACGCTCCAATGTTACTTGGTCACACGTATCCCATTTTTCATCTGTGAAATGTTTGAAGGTATGGCAGAGCTTGGAAGCAATACTTTTTTTGTGCTACAACACCAAAAGTCCTCCAGCCATACTAAAAATAAAAATAACATGAAGTCCACAAACAAACTTATACAAGTTCCCAATATGATGATAAAATACTTTCTTACCTTGCTGGGTTTTTTTTTTGGGGGCGTTACTGGACCCATAGCATTCTTTGAGAAGTTAGAAAAACAGTCTTGTATGAAATTAAGCATCTTTACATCAAATCATTATTATTGTGATGTAGAGGATGTTTGTAAATTATGAATGTGTTTGAATTACCGTGAAGGAATCCTTTTGTTTCCTAGGGAAGAAGAAATGCTGGATTCCAAATGATAAAGTAGCGTACGTTGAAGCCGAGATAAAAGAAGCTGTCGATGGCAAAGTCACTGTCGAGATTGCAGATGGGAAGGTAAGGAATCTCCACCCTGTTTGATTATCAGACATAATGGGAGCAGAGAAACAGGCTAGAATCACATAAAACAAAAGAAATTGCAATTCAGGGAATGGACAGGCTCATATAAAACAAAAACAAAAGCCATACACACAACTTGAAATTTCAGTGCTGTTATCATCACAAACGATCCCACCAGTACAACTGAAGAAGGAAGCTTCTTTTTAAAACCTGAGGAGAGGTTTGTTTGAGAGCTAGCATGTCCCAGGAGTCTGAGCATCAGAATAGGAAATTTAAATTCTCACTGAGCAATGGAAACTTACTGGGTGACCTTGGGCAAATCATCTCTGAACCCTCTCTAATCTATTAACTACTTAGATGAAGGGTTTGAAGCCATGATCATCAAGTTTGCAGACAACACCAACTTGGGAGGAATAGCCAATACTCCAGAAGATCGGAGCAGAATTCAAAACGATCTTAATAGATTAGAGAGATGTGCCAAAACTAACAAAATGAAGTTCAGCAGTAACAAATGCAAGATACTCCACTTAGGCAGAAAAAATGAAATGCAAAGATATAGAATGGGGGACATGTGGCTCGAGAACGATACATGTGAAAAAGCTTGGAGTCCTCATGGACAACAAGTTAAACATGAGATAACAATGTGATGTGGCAGCAAAAAAGCCAATGGGATTTTGGCCTGCATCAATAGGAGTATAGTGTCTAGATCCAGGGAAGTCATGCTACCCCTCTATTCTGCCTTGGTTAGACCACACCTGGAATACTGTGTCCAATTCTGGGCACCACAATTGAAGGAAGAGATGTTGACAAGCTGGAATGTGTCCAGAGGAGGTCGACTAAGATGATCAAGGGTCTGGAGAACAAGCCCTATGAGGAGTGGCTTAAAGAGCTGGGCATATTTAGCCCATAAAAGAGAAGGCTGAGAGGAGACATGATGGCCATGTATAAATATGTGAGGGAAAGTCATAGGGAGGAGGCAGAATGCTTGTTTTCTGCTGCCCTGGAGACTAGGGTGTGAAACAATGGCTTCAAACTACAGGAAAGGAGATTCCACCTGAACATTAGGAAGAACTGAGCCTGGAGCCTGGAGCCTCAGGTCCCAGCGGTGGCCGGGAGAGCTTTTGCGCAATTAAAACTTGTGCACCAGTTGCGCCCGTACCTCGGGAAGTCTGATCTGGCCACAGTGGTCCACGCTCTTGTTACATCCCGTATTGACTACTGCAACGCACTCTACGTGGGGTTGCCCTTGAAGACTGTTCGGAAACTTCAACTGGTCCAACGAGCGGCAGCCAGACTGCTCACCGGAGCGACATACAGGGAACACACACCCCCTGTTGTGTCAGCTCCACTGGCTGCCGGTTCAGTTCCGAGCACAATTCAAGGTGCTGGTTTTGACCTACAAAACCCTTTACGGTTCCGGTCCAGTGTATCTGTCCGAACGTATCTCCCTCTACGTCCCACCCCGGAATTTGAGATCATCTGGGGAGGCCCTGCTCTCGACCCCACCACTATCACAAATGAGGCTGGTGGGGACGAGGAGCAGGGTCTTCTCAGTGGTGGCCCCCCACCTGTGGAACTCACTCCCGGGGGAAATCAGGACATCAACATCCCTCCTTGCCTTCAGGAGAAAGGTAAAGACGTGGCTATGGGACCAGGCCTTTGGGAATCCTGACAATTAGATATGGAATCCAGATGGATAGGACTGACAATGTGCGGAAAATAGAACCTAAACTATGAGTCTGTTAAACGCTGACCAGCAATGAGGTTTGTATTGCTTTTATTGTTTTAATTGTTTTAATCGCTTTTATGGATTTTTTGGATGTTTTGCCGATAATAATGATTGCTTATGTTAATTGTTATCATTGCTATAATTGCTATTGTTATTGATGTTATGTTTTTGTTGTCATGTAATGCGGGCATCGAATTGTGCCTTGTTGTGTAAGCCGCCCTGAGTCCCCCTCGGGGTGAGAAGGGCGGGGTATAAGCGACCGTAATAAATAAATAAATAAGAACTTCCTGACGGTGAGAGCTGTTCAGCTGTGGAACTCTCTATCCCGGAGTCCGGTGGAGGTTCCTTCTTTGGAGGCTTTTAAACAGAGGCTGGAAAGGCCATCTGTCAGGGGTGCTTTGAATGCGATTTTTCTGCTTCTTGGCAGGGGATTGGACTGGACGGTCCAGAAGATCTCTTCCAAGTCCATGATTCTACGATTCTATGAAATCTTGGCAAGAAAACCCTGTGATCAGAGTGCCTTAGGGCAGAGGTCCTTGAACTTTTAAAGCAACAGTCCCACAGACTGTTTTTTTTTTTGGGGGGGGGGGGTGAACTATATCATGAACATTTTTTTTGCACAGTCATAATATTTTGCACAGTCATAATAAAATAATACAACCCACCCTCTCTCCCTGAAGGGACTCAGGGTGGTTTCCAAAAAATAACACAAATGGCAAACATTCAATGCCCAAAAGTAATCAAACAAACATTCTTTGAATTCATGGCATGGAGCTAAACTGGAGGTGGGAAATCTGTGGCTTCTAGATCAGGGATTCTTAACCCTTTTTGCTCCATTGACCCCTTTGTCATCCACATAAATGGATCCCTTCTCAGAATGTAACAGAAGATAGTTTTTTTACAACACTCAATATTGGCATGACTTTAAATTATCCCCTAAATGGTTTTTTTTTTTTTTCCGGGTCAGGAGTGACTTGATTAATGTAAGCCGCTTTGAGTTTCTTTTTTAGAGAGAAAAAATGGGGTATAAATATTAAATAAGGATGATGATTTTTTTTTTATGTCAGGAGCGACTTGAGAAACTGCAAGTCGCTTCTGGTGTGAGAGAATTGGCTGTCTGCAAGGATGTTGCCCAGGGGACGCCCGGATGTTTTGATGTTTTACCATCCTTGTGGGAGGCTTCTCTCATGTCCCCGCATGGGAGCTGGAGCTGACAGAGGGAGCTCATCTTCACTCTCCCGGGAACTCATCCACACTCTCCCCAGATTGGAACCTCTTACCTGTCGGTCTTCAGTCCTGCCGGCACAAGGATTTAACCTTACTGGGTGCAAATGGTTTTTTGAGATATGCAACAACTGTGATGCATTATTAAAGGAATGCTACTATAATTCATTGCATGCATTCATAAACAAAGGAAATGCTCAGTTTCAATTGAGGATCAGAGAAAATAAAGATAAATTATTTTTTTCCCAAATATTGGGGGGGGGGGGGGGGGTGGTGGTGAACTATATCGTGAACTTTTTTTTTTGGCACAGTGCACATATTTTATTTGTAGTGCAAAAAAATGAAGGAATGGTACAGTATTTAAAATGAAGAATAATTTTAACCAACATAAACTTACCAGTATTTCCATGGACTCCCCCTGTTTAAGAAGCCCTGCTCCAAATGGTGATGAGTTACTGCTTCTGTTGTTTTCCTTGCCACCAACCAGATAACCTGGGGCTGGTGGTTGCTTTCTTTCTTTATTTGTATAACTCTTCAAGCCGAAGCTATTTTTTTTTTACCCAAGCTGGGGGAAATGGATGGTATTTGCTTATCATATCTGTTCTCTTATGTTTTATCATTTCACCTTTTTATCTTTTAAGATAGCCATTGTCTTCACTGGGATCTTAAATCCATGCTGTGGCTGACAACAGTAGATGGCAAACAATCCCAACAGTTTCAGCAACAGTTCCTTTTGATAGCTAGTGCTCCCAAGAGATCTGTCATTTAAGGCTGCTGAAAAACAGTTTCATTTTCATTTTCTCTTGCTGGCATTTCAATTCTGAAAATAGACCTTTGCATTGGTTTATATTTAAGATGGGCTCTCTGTTCACTCTGGAATAACAGCTTAGTGGAAGTGCTGCCATTTTCAATACTCTTTATTCTTTCTTCTAGACAGTAACTGTGAAGGAAGACGATGTTCAACAGATGAATCCTCCAAAGTTTGACATGATTGAAGACATGGCTATGCTGACCCACCTCAATGAGGCCTCTGTGCTCCATAATCTGAACCGACGCTATACAAACTGGATGATCTATGTATGAGTCATTTGTTACTTTTAAATTTCAAAATATAGCAGTTGATTATTATGTGGGCTCAATGAATGTGGTCACATTTATACACAAAGAACTTTCAATACCATAGGATTGCTTTGGAGAAACTAGAAAATGCCTAGAGAACTGTCCTCTCTAAGCATCCAGTTCTGGCAGAAGTTGAGATACGGCCTTTCCACACAGCCCTATATCCTAGAATATCAAGGCAGAAAATACCACAATATCTGCTGTGAACTGGGTTATCAGAGTCCACACTCAGATAATGTGGGATTTTCTGCCTTGATATTCTGGAAAATCGACTCTGTAGAAGGACCTATAGAATCTCACTGAAGGCTTGGAGAAAGTCCTTCTCTAGACATTTTCTAGGCCCAATACATTGTTCATTTCAGATAAGAAAAATATGGTTCCAAATTATGTAAAGGACCCTAGAATGGATCGGTGATGTAATATACATGTATTAGAGTTGTGCGTGGAACCGTTTTCCTTCTTTTCATCCGATCTTTTGTTAATTTTGTTAATGGGAAGGCCCCCTGCAGTACGAAAATCAGCTCGACACAAAAGCAAACAGTAGCCAATCCTGGCTCCTCGTATGCTTTTCATGAGCAGCCTCCTTTCCTTGGAAAGAGTGCATGTATGGCATGCAGTCCCAGAAAGTGTGCATGCCTGCCTGCAGCCGAGTATCTCCTCTGGAGTAAGAGAACTTGCCTCCTTGCCTTGGAAAGTGTGTGTCGCATGCAGGCCCAGAAAGCACACGTGCTTGCCTGCAGCCAAGCACCTCCTCTGGAGTAAACTTGCCTCCTTGTCTTGGAAACGTGTGGCGTGCAGGACCAGAAAGTGCACATGCCTGCCTGCAGACAAGCACCTCCTCTAGAGTAAGAAACAGGTACAAAGCCTTAAAGCATGCGCTTGCCTGCAACTGAGCGCTTTCCCCCCTGATCCATAATGGTCGTATAGAAAATGGATCTTTTGGCACCCCAGAGCGAAACAGATATCTAACCTTCCTGTTTTGGAAGGCTCCCAAAAATGGATTGGGGCCCTCACCGTAAGCCAGAACACAAAATGGATCAAGGTTTACCTGGAGTGCACAATCCTGGAGTGTATAGCTTGGGTTGTTTCTTCTTTAAGTCAATTTGAATACAAACTTTAGATTGCTTGTCAGCTTTAAAATGTTCCATATTCATCAGGCATATTTCCCACTAGGTATGTTTTTAGAAGCTGTGTTGTGGTTAAATGCCTTCAAATCTGTTTTATGACAACCCTACCACAGGCTATTCCTGACATGATTTATTCAAGGTGTAGGTATTCCATTGCCATCCTCTGAGACTGAGCAAGTGTGACTGACTTCCCTAAAATCACTCAGGCTCCATCTACACTGCCATATAATCCTGATGATTTGCTTTGAACTGGATTATATCAATGTAAACTCATATAATCCAGTTCAGAGCAAACAATCTGGATTCAGAAACTGGATTATATGGCATTGTAGATCCAGGCTCAGTGGGTTTCCATAGCTGGGTAGGCTCACGGCATTTCAGTCTAACACTGAAATCACTACACAATTTTGTCTCTCAGATGTTTTGCTTACTGTGAAAAAGAGAAATTAATATTTCACAATTTAAATATATTTGCTTTCTGTAAACTAAGTCTATATAATTTCTAGCTCCTGGGTCTAATACTGTCTGCCTGGGATGGTTATGGGTCCAGATCCTTGTCTCTTCTGGAAACTCAAGAGTTTGTTTTTACCTGTCATCTTCCTGTTTGGAAAACTTGCAGTTTTTTTCTCTTTAATTCCATTTTTAGTGCCAAGAATGAGGCACCCTGTTGCAGAATATGTATAGTTATTGGGTACACAGGGCTGTTTACCCAGTCTGAGGTCCTCTATGTATACTTTAACTACAACTTTCCTAATTATCCAGTCTTGCACATTTGGAGCACCCCGGATTGCAGAAGGCTGGCACAGCGGGTACCTGGAGGGAAGCTGTACTCCATGTTTAATCAATACTAGCTCCTATGCAAATGCTATAAATATACAGCATACAAAATTGTATTGTCGGAGAAAGTCCCTTGGTGTTGCAAATCCAAGCTTGAATATATTAAGGGATATATCCAGGCACACTAAATGTTGCTGTTGCCTGCTGCATTGCTATATTAGTAATCCATGGCCAATGTGATGAATCATTGATAGTACGGGCCCGCACTTTGATTGATGGTTATGACAGATAGCGGGCCAGAAGGATCTACTGTTTTAGGAATTATATACTTTTCAAATTTTTACAATTTTATTAATGAGATTTTTATGCACTGTTAATTATACTAAAGTCATTGTATTTGTACTTATGTATTGTTATCTGCATGTGGCACTTGGAGTGCTTGGGCCAAAACTAACAAAATGAAGTTCAACAGTGACAAATGCAAGATACTCCACTTTGGCAGAAAAAATGAAATGCAAAGATACAGAATGGGTGACGCCTGGCTCGAGAGCAGTACGTGAAAAAGATCTTGGAGTCCTCGTGGACAACAAGTTAAACATGAGCCAACAATGTGATGTGGCGGCAAAAAAAGCCAATGGGATGTTGGCCTGCATCAATAGGAGCATAGTGTCTAGATCTAGGGAAGTCATGCTACCCCTCTATTCTGCTTTGGTTAGACCACACCTGGAATATTGTGTCCAATTCTGGGCACCACAATTGAAGAGAGATATTGACAAGCTGGAATGTGTCCAGAGGAGGGCAACTAAAATGATCCAGGGTCTGGAGAACAAGCCCTATGAGGAGCGGCTTAAGGAGCTGGGCATGTTTAGCCTGAAGAAGAGAAGGCTGAGAGGAGATATGATAGCCATGTATAAATATGTGAGAGGAAGCAGGGAGGAGGGAGCAAGCTTGTTTTCTGCTTCCCTGGAGACTAGGACACGGAACAATGGCTTCAAACTACAAGAAAGGAGATTCCATCTGAACATGAGGAAGAACTTCCTGACTGTGAGAGCTGTTCAGCAGTGGAACTCTCTGCCCCAGAGTGTGGTGGAGGCTCCTTCTTTGGAAGCTTTTAAACAGAGGCTGGATGGCCATCTGTCAGGGGTGATTTGAATGCAATATTCCTGTTTCTTGGCAGGGGGTTGGACTGGATGGCCCATGAGGTCTCTTCCAACTCTTTGATTCTATGATTCTATGATCACAGTCTCTTTGAGGAAATGGTGACAGGGTACAAATAAAGAGGATGATGATGATGATGATGATGATGATGATGATGATGATGATTATTATTATTATTTATCATAGCTGGATGACATTTCTATTGTCCAAGACTAAAGTATTGAGCATTTCTTATCTGGAATTTCAAAATTTGAATCTCTTCAAAATTATTCACCTTGGTGGCTGAGATTAAGACACTTTTGCTTTCATATGGTTCAGTGTATACAAACATTGGTCCATGCACAAAATTATTTAAAATTGCCTTCAGACAATGTTTTTAACGTGTATATCAAACATAATATGAATTCAGTGTTTATATTTGGGTTTATGTCCAACATATCTCAGTACATGCATATATGCAAATACAGATATTTCCAAATTTGAATAAAATCTCATATTCAAGACATTTCTGGTCCAAATAATTTTTAGAAAAGAGATGTTCAATTATCTACAGTGGAAGTGGCAGTGGGGTCACCGTGGAACTGCAACTAATCACTTTTTTAAAGGCAGGAGATTTCCAAGCGTTTCATCGAGTTTTTGTTAATGTTATTTGTGGTTTCTTTGTTTACTATCTAGACTTACTCAGGTCTCTTCTGTGTGACAATAAATCCTTACAAGTGGCTGCCCGTCTACAAATCAGAAGTCGTTGCTGCTTATAAGGGCAAAAGACGCTCAGAAGCTCCCCCTCACATCTTCTCCATTGCAGATAATGCATACCATGACATGTTGCGGAGTAAGTAACAATCTTTCGTCACACGCTTCTAATTTTAATCTTGCTTGCTGAGAAAAATGAGAATTGGTCACACATTGAGGAAAGAGCCCACTGGAAACAGTGTTCTGTAAAGAGCAAGTAGTCTGCTGCACACAAGCACAACTATGAATTTTAGCAGCACTCACATTTGGGATAAAGAGTATGGAATTGCTTTCTGTTGCGAAAATATAACTGATCTCCAAGGAGAAAGAGGAGGAGAGCAGCTGAGATGATTTTTAGTGATGATCGGCATTTACCAGACAGTGCTATCATTGAGCTCTTCTCACATCCCTGAAGTCACATGGATAAAACACAAACCTGGATTTGCTTTCTGTTGAAGGCATCATTTGGTACTGATGACTTTGTATGTATTTATGTTGATTTACAAACATATAGGTTTAATTCAGATGGACACACAACCAAAACTCTTCAAGCCAAGTCCAACATAGCATAATTACTCCAGAGAAACCCATTCCAGCATCTTCTGATAACTTAATTTCTCTCTGTGTCTTCCCTCAACGATACAGTCGGTTCCCTTAGGCATACCTACACACTATACAATCCATAGCTAGGGTAGAGAAAAGTCTGCTTTTGGCAAATTCAGAAGAGTTAGGGGAGATCCTGCTGCCTTGTCAATAATTTTCCTAAAGCAAAGATGTGCCAGGCATTTTCGCCTCTAGCTGTTCAGGGAATATGAACACAATTTCTGATTCCAGGCCAGATCCAAATATTAAAACATCATAATGCAATCCATGTTCATGCAGCTTCCTACAAAGAAGAGTTTCCCCAATGCAGCCTTTCCTGAACCAATGCCCTTCAATGATATTGGAGGACAACACCCATCATTCCCTGACAACATAGCTGGGGGAGGCTGCTCCATTGTATTCAACAGCAGGAGCAGTTTTCTGCATCCATACACAGGGCAGCTCTCTTAACATTAGGTAGCTTCAGTTTACTTTGATCACTCTATATATGCATTATGGGTCTTCAAGTCCACTCTGACTTATGCCAAACCTATCATAGGGTTTCTTGGAAGGATTTATTCAAAAGAGGTCTGCCATTAACTTCCTTTGAGGCTGAAAAAATTGGTCAAGGCCATAGAATCATAGAGTTGGAAGAGACCTTGTGGGCCATCCAGTCCAGCCCCCTGCCAAGAAAAAATGTGTTTCCATACTAATTGGGGATTTGAAATCTGGCCTCCCACAATCCTAATCATAAAAGAAACAATACTGCATTTACAAATCTGTTTTTATAATAGTGTAAAACAGTGTCATATTAAGTTTGTTTTAATCTCTTTTAATTATTATTTTTCAATATTAATATCAAGTTGATACAGAGTTCATGGTGTGGTATAGTATGGGGTATATGTAGTACTGGGTCTATTTTAATAGGAACTTCCCAGCAACCAGAAACTACATTTATCTGGCATCTACCAATTCCCATGGGGACCAGTTCACAGAAGGCCCTTCCTTCCACACAGCCATATAACCCATAATATCAAGGCAGACAATCCACAATATCTGCTTTGAACTGGGGGCCCTTTCACACAGCTGAATAAAATCCTATTGCTTTGAACTGGAA